AATTTCCTTTGTTCCAGAACGCACCTTAACCAGAAAACGAGACTCTGGCATTTTCTTATTTTGTGTTGTTTTGGACCCCACCTCAAGAACAGGAGGAACCGGGCGATCCCTGAAAGCCCTTGCACAGCACAGGCCATGCTTGCGCACACATGTATTATACAGAGGTAAATAAGAAAATGAGACTCTTGGACGAGGGTACCCTGGTTTTCTTATTTTAAGAGCGCTTGGTATTTCAAGGAGAACCCCCTCAATCCCCAAATCCAGAGTCTCATTTTCTTAATCCGATGTTTTCTGTAGTGCTGTCGCTGTACCTCAGTGCTTGCCATGCCCGCGAGGCCACACGCGTCGACCTCAGTGTCAGTTCGGACCAGGCTCGAACGTCTCATGGCTGGAACTTGGCTGCCAGGGTGCTTCACCTTAACCTCATGAGTCGCGAGGGGATGGAGGCCCGTGAAGAGCCTCTCGGCATCGTGCAAGATCCCAATCAGTTCCATGGACGCGCACCTCATTTGCACCCAGGTTTGGCGAGAGCATGGAGCTGCCCGGACAAAAGCCCAGCTGTTGTTGAATGTGAGGTCGCAAGGCCAGCTGTTCGGAAACATCACTCTCAAAGCTTCTTGATCGGCTTGCGTGGAAGTACTGACCATCTCAGGTACCTTAACTTGCCTTTGCTTCGCCGAGCCGACATTTCCACTGCATTGAACCCCGAACTATGGGAGATTTGGGAGGTTCGTGAGGCAACGGCTGCACTTTCCATGCTGTTTGTGCTTGCGCTCTGCTACGCTTGGCGTGTGGCAGGGTCATTACGATTTGAAGCCAGAGGGGGCTGGCTTCGAGTGCGGCTTGCCTTCATTGCATGGGCTTGGGTGCCCTGCTCCAGTTGAGAACTTGGAAAATGCTGCGCTGCTGCCACGCTCGTGTTCGATCCGAAAACCGCTGGTACAGTATTGCAGCGCCCAAGACCGCAAATGTTGCCATGTCTTGACCTGTCCGACCCTGGGGATGATTCGAATTGGGGCAAAGGATGCTCAGAGGCCAGGTTTAAGCGTTGTGGTACTTCATGCAGCTTTTTCGAGAAAGCAGTAAACAGTCTGTCGATCATGGGAAAGGTTGTGCCTGTGGATGTCGCTTTCAGCATGACGGAGTCTTGAGTCGTGCCCGAAATCGCTCGTTTTCGGTGTGGCTTAACCAGCCAGCATAACCCACCTGCCAGACAAGAAGGCTGAGATACATTCTCAAGGTGTAGCTCAGTCTGTTAGTTGACCATATCTTAGGCGTGCGTGCGCCTGCATGTATGTTTATATCTACAGAACAGTTACATACGAAACGCAGGTGTGCCTTCTGAGGGCCGCAACAGGACGTGAGAGACTGCTGTCACACCATGTCGCTGCGCCAGCTAGAGTCACTAGAGTTTGGGACTGAACAAAACAAGCACCTATGCACACCGAAGAAGCACATGCACATGACGTGTAGTTACGCCTGCTAGAAAAGGGTGGCAGTTCGGAACACTTGGCATGCGCAGCTGTATTTGCTGAGCCACCCCGCAAGAAAAAGGTTTGAAGCTCTGGCAAAGGATGGAACCATGGCCCGAAGTGCTTAAGGTCTTGACAACTTTTTCAGCCCGAAAGTTGTCTGCAGGTGAAGCCTTTTACACGTTCGGTGGGAAGTCGACTCCAGGGTGGTCTCCCCAGGCTTCTCACAGCAGATGATTGTTGATCGTTCAGTGTCGCCGGGCAAGGATTCCGAGCTGGTGTGTTGTTGCCGCGAGAATCTGACTGAGCCAGACGCGAAGGGAATAAACCATGTAGCGCAAGAGCCATAACTCATTAGTCTCGCCTGAGCCACGTTTTGATGGTAATCTGGGCTTTGACTAAACTTAGCTCCATCAGAATGGGCTGCCTCGTTAGATCTGGTCGGCCTGAAGAGAAACATTGTCGTCAGAGGTGCTCTAGCAGACTCTAGCACGAGCAGGTGCAAGAGAGTACATCCCGATGCAGGCCAAAGAGTTGCCTGAGGACTGACGGACGACTCTGTTGCTGACATCGCTGGCGCAGCAACAAAGAATCTGGACATGGGGAGTGCTCGCGGTGTCCGAAGGGCTGTGAGAGGGCCAAGCTTCTGTCGAAGACAAACGGAACATGCGGCAAGCTTGGCGTCTTCCTTGCCCGAGGCTGCTGCGTGGCACCGCCTCTGTCTTGAATGCTGGAGTCTAGTCTCTTCCCAGAGAGCTGCGCATCCGTCTGGAACTGCCAGGTGAAGGAGCCTTCTTCGATGCACAGAACCCCAAGGGGCAGCGTGGTTCTTGGGGACGGTCATACAGTTCTGTTGAGCAAGCTGTGTCGGCTCCAAGGACGCCGTTGCACTTGGCCTGTGGCAATGGGGCCCTTGCTCTAACAAGGCTGTTGTGAGCAACCATTGGAGCATTGAACCCGGCAGTCTCCTCAGGCTGCTGCTTTCCGTGCGGGCTGACCCAAGGTTCGTCAGAGAATGTCAGAGAGGTCCATGTGGCCATTTGGGCCATACCAGGCTTGGCGACCTTGCCGAGAACCAGGCCCAGCGCGAAAAGTGCAGTTGCTTTCCAAATACGCGAAAGATTTCGGATCCGGCTGTCGGTTGCAAAAGCGCAGTGCGGCTCCGTGCCCGTGTCAGAATCTGCGTCGCATCGCATTTCGCGTGGCGAGTCTTCACCTTGTGTGGCATGGCCATGCCAACGCATCGCCAAGGCGGACAGACTACGCCCGCACCCACACCCAGCCTGCCCGCCCGCCCCCACCCACCCCACCCGACCCACCCGACCCACCCCACCCACCCCACCCACCCACCCACCCGACCCACCCCATCCACCCCACCCACCCCACCCGCCCCACCCACCCACCCCACCCCGAAAAGAAGCAAGACCAGTGTTTTCTCCAAGGGATTTTGTTTTGAAGCAAATGTGCAGGTCACACGGCTCCCAAGATGTGGTGACAGACTGACCAATGCAACGAATGCACTGGAATCCCAAATCTACACGCCCACAGTTTGATACAGAGCCGGAAATGGTCGGTCGCGGTCTTGGGGGTTATTCTCTCTTCAATATGGCAGAGAACGCCTACACGGTTCCAGGCATGTCCAAGGCCGCTATTCAAAGTCCGAACCATCGATCTGCCGCATTGGAACCGCAGACCCTTGAAGACACCCAACACAGACTTGTGTAGTTCGAGCAGATGCAGCCAGGTCCCAGCAATGGTGGCAACTTTGCGGCGTGCAAGCTGGTGGTCAGACTCTTGACATTGTAATTCCTCGAAATCTTGCAAGCAGCAACATGTTTTGATTTTCAAGGTCTAGCGGCTCTGACCTTACTCAAACTCTCAAACCTACTCGTAGTTGCGATGCTGCGTTTCTGGCCTTCACCATGTTTCTTAAGGCCCTGAGCCACTGAGTATGGACATATCAGCTCCGGGAAGCAAAAATCCTGCCTCCGACCTTGCGGCCGCGGCCTTACTAAGCGCCCAAGGTCTCAGCCCAACCGAAGGAAAGCGCAGCAATTCGGTTGGGTGATTTGGGGTGTTTTTTTCAAGCATGCACGATTTGCTCTGGAGGTCTCGAAGTCCTGGCAACGTGCCGGACTGAATACAGCTCTTCCGAGCCAGAGTAGCATGCAAGTTGTTTCCATGGTCACGAGGTCCCACCGGCTACCTGGAAGCGCGACTAGTGACAGCAGAGGCTGGCATGTTCAACTCTGGCACATTCCGAAGTGCAAGTCTAGCTTCAGCAGTTTGAAGCAAGAGCCAGCGAAGCAGAGCTAAGCCTTTCAGGTCTGCCTGCAAGCCATGGAGGGTTTTGGGCTCGGTCTTCTGCAGTGCCAAGCAAACTGGACTGGATCGTGGTGAGCTAAGAATGGGATCCAGACTTTCCAGCAGCGGCAAGCCTGTTGAACAGTCGCGGCGAGTCAGATGCTCGTGGTTGACAGTGTCGTTGAAGCGCGACACTGGTAGCTGTGTGTTTTGGTGTCAACAGCTGCAGATTCCGAGACAGTCTTCATTCATGTGTCGTTGTGGTGTAGCGAGGACGGCATTACACATTGCAGCATCCGTGGGTGACTTGGAATTGTGCAGGTCAGGGACCCAGCCAACCAGCCAAACTGCTTCCTGGTGTTGCAGTAGTCGACTAAACGGTCGGGAGATGTATGCTGCAGGGCCTCAGTCCCCCCCCCCCCCCCCCTGTTGGTGGCTGCCACCATCGTGGCCCAGGTGCACCCTCGATAGCCGCC